CGATGCGGTACGTGTTTCCACACGGACCAGTTTATTGACGGACCAGGAACGAGAAGGTGTATGTTTGGCTGGGAAGTTTTATTGTCGACTACAGAATGTATGATGAAGCTGTTTGGTAAATAAAGTGTTAAATAAAGTGTTAAATGGAAGGTGTTGTTGTAATATTTGAACTGGCGTAAATTACCGGTTGAATTGTTTGTAAATGCCGCCGCAACGACGGCCGGTCTGTGGTGCATGCTGGGAAATGTAGTGACGCTGTGTGTGCTAGACGTGCGGCTACGGTTCGGGAACAGAGGGGGAAAACGGCTCGGTTTTCACAGTCTGTCTTGCTCCTTTAACAGATCAGAGGTGATGAGACTCAAATTCCAGGTTCAGCAAATGAGTTATCGCAGCTTTGTTTGGCTTTTTGGACTTGAACATTTCTTGGAGGGTCTTGTAATGTCTTGCTTGGGTTTTCGGGCTTACCTTGAGGTTAACTGAACCAGCTGAAGTCATTAGAGGGAAGTTATGGTGGAAAGAGGATATGAGATTTCCAAACTAACTAAATTGTCAGTGAAACTCAGGCATTGTAAAGAAGTAATTAATGTTCATTTTACTTGATATAGAAGCAAAACATTGGACAATAGAATACATATGCCTTTGGACGGACACTGAAAGATTCGAAAGCTGCTGAATGTCCAGGGTATGTCATATGAATTAACTCAGCCAAAGTGATACAATACATACATGTTTCATCACTGCTGTCCCGGCTCTGCAGTGGGGTGCTAGCTCTAGCACTGAGATGCCCATGGGACTAACAGGTGAACGTTCCAGAATAATGGTGGATGCACTGGAATCTCCATCGTAGTCAGTGGTTGAAATGTCTGAAGTGACTTCCACATCTTGTCGTGGTTTCTTTGAAGGAGGAGCTTTGGCCTTCCTTGGACTTCTGACATTTGAGAGTCTCTTCATGAGCTTTTTAGCAACATGCTCCTGCGAGGCATACATAGTAAACATTAAAAAAATGACATGACAACTTGAGTCTCAAGTTTTCTTAAACTGTAATTACAGCTTTCAGCAAAGTCTGGCTCCATTTGAACCTTCTGTTATGGTTTAGCACTGTATGAATAGAATTTATCGAAATCGTACACTTAAAATCATACCATCAACAAGCAATAGTGACAAAAATATACTCACCCACTCACTGTTGGATGACTTTTCTTTTATCATCGGATAGTAATCCACCAACCGTTTTGCCATGGCATTCACCTCATGTCTGGTGGGGTATCTGCAGTCCTCTGTGGCTCTTGCGATAGCAATCATATTAGTCATCGTGTTTCTTATGAGTCGGCAGAAGAGCTCCTTGGATAAGGCCACGCTGTGCTCGGTCCCCAGCCGTTTCTGCTCAAAGTAGTAGCGTCGTGCCTGTTCAAGCTCACTGTCTGTGAAGACTATGTATTCTGGGTTGGACATAGTCACAAATTTAGAAGTACTGGCCTCTTCTTTTGAAGGGTCGCTGCCACCAGTAGGGGGTGACTACAGAATTTCAGGAGCAGCATCCACCTACAATACATTTACACAAACATTTTATTGAATAACATTATCTTTTAGTGGATTAAAAAAAACTTGAAAAAAAGCACATGTTGGACTGTTGAAAGGGACTCAAAGCAGAAATGTCTAAAATAATGAAATATTATGTATATGGACCTGAATTGAAGTTACATAACACTTCTGTGATATTGGAATATCTGTTATACTGTTAAACAGTTCTGTCATACGGTGAAAGACAGACCTTACCTTTTCATCTTTATTTACAACAAGCCATATAGCCCGGCGCTTCAAGAAATTTTCAGGACCAGGAAACAGATCTTTGATGTCTGTCACGTCTGGGGGAATGTCTTGTCTTGATTACCTATTGTGTACACCTGGGGTTTCCCTCCCTCATGTGTTTAAATAGTCCTCGTTTCCCCTTGTCTGGTGCGGGGTCGTTCTTGTCTTCTTGCCTTGTCTCTTGTCCTTTCGTCCGTCGTCACCCCCACGCCAGGTTTGTTTCGTCACAGTTCTGCCACAGTCATAGTCACGTTTTTGTCATAGTCTTGTTAATCTTTATTTTGTTACTTTGTCATAGTTTTTCCACAGTCTTGTTTGCTTGCTTTGATACTTTGCCCACTGTTTGCCACAGCTTTGTTTTGTACTTTGTCTGGACATTCACCCTGTTTTTGTTCAATAAACCTTGTTTCCCCTCATTCCGCGACTGAGTCCTCCCTTCAAGACCCACCTCCGTGACAATGTCATCACGGGAAAGCAAAGGTAATAAGTCTTCTCCAATATTAGCAGCTGCAATATAGACAAGTTATAGTCAGTACTAAGACATTGATGTTATCATTGAATTCCTTTAGATTTGAACATAGCAACACCCTGACACCTCTTGTACAGTTTAAATTAGATACATACAGGGGTTGGACAATGAAACTGAAACACCTCTCATTTTAGTGTGGGAGGTTTCATGGCTAAAATGGACCAGCCTGGTGGCCAATCTTCATTAATTGCACATTGAACCAATAAGAGCAGACTGTGAAGGTCCAATTAGCAGGGAAATAGCACATTTTTGCTCAAAATATTGCAATGCACACAGCATTATGGGTGACATTCCAGAGTTCAAAAGAAGACCAATTGTTGGTGCACGTCTTGCAGGCGCATCTGTGACCAAGACAGCAAGTCTTTGTGATATATCAAGAGCCACGGTATCCAGGGTAATGTCAACATACCACCATGAAGGACGAACCATATCCAACAGGATTAACGGTGGACGCAAGAGGAAGCTGTCTGAAAGGGATGTTCGGGTGCTAACCCGGATTGTATCCAAAAAACGGAAAACCACGGCTGCCCAAATCACGGCAGAATTAAATGTTCACCTCAACTCTCCTGTTTCCACCAAAACTGTCCGTCGGGAGCTCCACAGGGTCAATATACACGGCCGGGCTGCTATAGCCAAACCTTTGGTCACTCGTGCCGATGCCAAACGTTGGTTTCAATGGTGCAAGGAGCACAAATCTTGGGATGTGGACAATGTGAAACATGTATTGTTCTCTGATGAGTCCGCCTTTACTGTTTTTCCCACATCTGGGAGAGTTACGGTGTGGAGAAGCCCCAAAGAAGCTTACCACCCAGACTGTTGCATGCCCAGAGTGAAGCATGGGGGTGGATCAGTGATGGTTTGGGCTGCCATATCATGGCATTCCTTTGGCCCCATACTTGTGCTAGATGGGCGCGTCACTGCCAAGGACTACCGAACCATTCTGGAGGACCATGTGCATCCAATGGTTCAAACACTGTATCCTGAAGGAGGTGCCGTGTATCAGGATGACAATGCACCAATACACACAGCAAGACTGGTGAAAGATTGGTTTGATGAACATGAAAGTAAAGTTGAACATCTCCCACGGCCTGTACAGTCACCAGATCTCAATATTATTGAGCCACTTTGGGGTGTTTTGGAGGAGCGAGTCAGGAAACATTTTCCTCCACCAGCATCACGTCGTGACCTGGCCACTATCCTGCAAGAAGAATGGCTTAAAATCCCTCTGACCACTGTGCAGAACTTGTATATGTCATTCCCAAGACGAATTGACGCTGTATTGGCCACAAAAGGAGGCCCTACACCATACTAATAAATTATTGTGGTCTAAAACCAGGTGTTTCAGTTTCATTGTCCAACCCCTGTATGTATGAGTATGAATATTCTTCTAGTGAACTGTTTTTGTAACGGGCACATGCAGATCTTTAAAAAATTATTCTTTTAGAGAAATTATCACAAAAAACTCCTATGAGTTATTTTTGTTGTAGTTTTTGTCTAAACAAATGTACCTTTAAAAATGTAGCATATAAAATTAACAAGAAAAAAAATCAACTGCACAGTCAAACAGCTCCTTCACGTTTCAAAAAACAGATAATAAAGAAGTGTTAAAGGTCTGCATTTAGATGAGACAGTTATTCTGACTGGAACATGAAAATGTGCAGAATCCTTCCAAATCAGCTCCTCTGAACTGGATCCTTTTGAGTTTGATGACATCACAATTTTTTTAAGCAAACAGAGTTTATTTATTTTGATTTGGAAAAAAGAGCCTGAGAACTGAAGCATAATTTCTTTCCTAAGGCTATTTTATGTTATGCTGAACTTCATTGTCACTGCTGTTGCTATAGTTTCTCTGTTCACCATGTGAACACCTTAAAGATGCCCTCCCTCACAAAAGCGTTTTTACTTATATTTAAAAAAATATATTAGGTCCATATGTGTTTGTGTTATTTAGTCAATGTGAGAATGAACCGCTACCTCATCTGTCTGCTATAGCCACTGAAGGATATAAGCACAGAAATCACGGCAGTTAGCTTATCAGTCTGATTTAGTATTGATTAAGCTCATTACTATTTATTAGTTCCCCCAGTTGAGACCGCGCCAACAGAATTCAGCTAGCTCAGACAGTGACAGCTTTCATATCCAGCAATGATGGCTGAACGTCAACGTTCTTGTGTGAATGCTCAAACAGAACTTCAGCAATGCACATGTTGCCCAAGAACCCAGAGAGATGACAGGAAGTGCTGTTATACAGGTTTAATGTCTGTTTGGACAGTGGTAACACTCGCTAGCTTAGCAAAGTTCAAGGTTTTATCTATTTGGACAATGCTAGCCCTCGCTAGCCTAGCTAAGTTCATGCCATGATGCGAAAAATTAGTCGATGACAGCTTTCAGCAAGCTGTCTAGTTGTGGACAAAACCAACGCAAAAGACAACACAAAGTGTATTTTTACCAATTATATTACTAAATGAAAACTTTCAGAGAAATGGGTAACTCCCAGGGGAGCTAAAAGCCCTGACATGGGCTCCGTGATTCACAATTTTTTATGTTTTAACAAACACATTTAAGATTATTAAAGTTATGTGTGTAATCTAGTTAGGCTATGCTAGGGTGACCAAACGTCCTCTTTCGGTTCAGGTAGAAAGGGATCAGGTGGGACAGCCACAGTGCTGGCCGCTGCAGGAGTGCTATAGCTGGCAAACACTGAAACACCAAATGCTTCCTGTCCCAAACGCCAAGAAGAAGGCGTCGTACTACATCCACTCGGTGGGCATCCAGTCCTCAAATACTGAAAATGCGTCCGCTTAACTCATTCGCTGCCAAAGACGTCTATAGACGTCTTTTCAAATCCAACCGCTGACTGCCAAAGACGTCTATAGACGTCTTTTATGTTTTTCAATGCGAGTGGCTTGGGGGACGATCGGCAAAAGTTTTCCCGTAAATATCGGCTTCTAGACAGAGTATGGACTAACAAATTTACCCTCTAGGTAGCTGTGCCACTTTTGATGGGAGATTAGCATAGATTGTAAGCAAATAAAAACAAACGCAATGGTTCGCTATGAGAGAAATGGCGCCGGTGAGACGCACGTCGAAGAAGAACGGAATGAGGTAGAAACAAAATCTTTTTTCCTGATGAAAGAAGAGAGTCTACTCTTTCTTTTGGTGTGTTCGGTGTTTACATAGTCATAGCACAAACTATTCTGTGGCTCTTGAAAAATCAGTCAAAATTCTCAAAAAACTCTGGCAGTGAGCGACTCTCTGTTCTGAAAATGGCTGGCAGTCAATGAGTTAATGTGGCGAAAGAAAGAGTTGAAAACTCCAAAGTCTTGTTCGCATCCGTCAATACCACAATAAACCCAAAAGTCCGGGCTGCGACTGACTTTTATTAATGTGGCTAAGGAGTACATTAAGACTTAAAGCAACAAAGACGAAACATATCATACACGTCCACGCCGCCATGATGTCGCGGGCTGTTGACCCTTGGGGGGGGGGGGGGGTGGCACTCATGCAATCATTTGTTATTAAGTTAACAATAATTTCTCCAATTATAAATGTGACTTCATTAATTTTATGATGGTAAATGTTTTTTTTTTACTAATATGTAATGGGTCACTGTTTTGCAAACATTGTCCGCCGGGGTATTTGCTAGCTAGTTGATAGCTGATGTGCACCTTTACACGCTGGTCCCTAGCTATTAGATAACGAGCTCTGTTTGTCTGTGGGTTTTCCCAGGTAGTTCTAAGGTACCGCCTGTTAAGACTTCAGGGAGCTGATGAATCCGGGATGGACGATTGATGATGCCACTCTATCGGTGTTGGAGGGAAAGTCATGAAATAAAGTTGATATCTAATGTATCGATGCTACTTATAGAGTGCACATTCTTAGCTGAATACCTTATTTGAAAGCCAACATTTTTTCCTCAACTTTCATTTGCTGAACGACTTTAAAATATGCTTAGGGTGAAAAATGTGAAGCAAGAGTCAGAATTCTAAAGCAAAATATATGGTTGTGAAATAGAAATCTCACATTTTAAAATCATGAGGTCTGCAGTTTCCTGTTGGCGGGAAGGTTACCCCTCCCCCCAACATTGTAAATCATCCGCCATTCAGATTGTTATGTAGCATGGTCATTATACCTTATTTGGAAGCTTGGACTCTTAGGAATCAATACATGACAATCT